AGTGCCCTCGGGTTCCCGGGCTCCTCACTAGGGACCATGACTCTCAGCTGCCAGCAGCCTCACGGACCCTTTCTGCTCCCGCCTCAGGCCGTCTCCGCCAGGGGTGTGAGGAGGCCCCACGCCCCAGCCCCCAGGCCTGCTTTGTCCTGTGTGGGGGTGACCACGGCAGCCTAGGGTTTGGGGAAGAGCTGTGCACTGATGCAAGGACTCTCTGCAGCCCCCTCGGAGCCTGGGGACCCTGGGCGCAATGGGAGGAGGGTGACAGAGCTCTGGGGCTGGACACCCGGTCATTCCTCCTCTCCAAGGGCCGCTGTGCGCACTGCCCCTTCGGCGACACAGCCCACCTTCCGCGCGGCCTTACTGCCTTGTGAGCAATGTCGACGGTGCCATGACCTGGAGGAGGCAGGAAGAGCACCCTCGGTGTCCTGTGGGGACTGGGTCCCTGGTGGGGTCAGAGTGGCCACAGAGGCTCGTACTAGGAGACGCGGGCTCTGATTCAGCGGCGAGGGGGGAGCGGAGCGGGTGACCCTCTCCGACCCTCTGGGCTGTGCCCTTTTCCTGCCCCACTGCGGTTTTCAGGGTCGCATGCTGGCGAGGCAAAATGTGACTGGAAGCCCGAGACTCAACTCAGGCAGAGGGTCCCCCATCTTTTCTATTCACCCCCATCCCGCTTCATCTCCAGGGCTGGCTGTGTGAGATCCAGGCCGTAGTTTCTATCTGGCCACTTGGGAGGCTATGGGCACCCCGGGGTCTCCAGAGGTGCAGGCTGGCTTCTGGTGCCCGTCTGGTCGGCAGGTCCCGATCGACCAACATTCATGAGTTTTATACACGTGGGACGAGAAATACCGAGAGCACAAAGCTGACCCGGATTGCTGTGGAGACAAACTCGCTCACAAGACTCACAGGCTTGTACAAGCTTTCAGAACAATCTGACCGCCTCTCCCTTCCATTCAGGCAGGCATCTTAGGAATCACGGTGCAGGGAAAGCATCTGGAGGCAAGGATCCTTTGACAAACGTGCTATGGTGGCCACTGCTGCAGAGCAGAAAGACCTGGAAACCCACACATCCACCAGCTGAGGGGACACCCTGGGACACTGGTGTCAGGCCACCCGCAGGAGCGTGCCCCCGACCAGCTACTGGCATGCGGTGATGCTCAGGGGAGAGGCGAGCTGCCCCGCAATTCGTGTACCACATTCATTTCTCTAAAAGCAAATGATACTATTTCCACCCGAGTCTTGACCATGTGTTGCATGTGTTTGTGCACAAATAGAGAAAGATGTGCAAGACACACCCAGGTCAGCACCCTCTGGATGGCAAGAAGGTGCAGAGAAGGGACAGTTAACTCTTTTCCGTCCTGTCTCACAGGTTGCAGGGAGCCTGTTTTACATTTGGACGCAAGTGGTGGCTGGTGCGGGCATCACACTGGTGGAAAGGATGAGGCCCTGCTCTGAGGGACTCCCAGCCAGGAGTGACACGAGGCCCCAAGCATACAGTGACCCTTTCAAGTTCATGTATGGGGCCCCAGAGACCAACCCAGGAGCAGGGCCACGGCCGGCACAAGCCAGGAGGCACTGTCCACGCGCTGCAATCTGTGGAAATGCGGCAGGCTGTGCAACTCCCAGGGGGCTGAGCTCCAGGGAACTTGGCCCATCAGACCTGCTGGGCTCTTGACCCCAACCCAGACTTTACCCTGACAGTGGGGGGTACAGTGTGTGTTTGGGGAGGAGACTGAGAGACTGGCCCTGCAGGGAGGCAGGAAGGAGAGGGCGTGGGTGTGCACTGCTCCCCATCAACCCCACCACCCTTGAGGGCTCTGGGTAATTCTCTGTGATTCCAGATGTTCAGCAGCTGTCTTGGCCATTTCCGCCCCTTCTTTGACCCTGCATCCGCCAGGAAGCGTCCCCTCCTGTCCTCAGGCTCTGAACCACCCCCCACCTTCCCTGCACCCCATTTCCTGAGCAGAGGCGTTTGTGCAGACTCAGCTCCCTATCCCGCCAGGGTGGCTTCAGTTTTCCCAAGGCCCGGGCTCTGCTCCCGGAGCCCTGGGCTGCTGTGGTCAGCTCACGGCTGCCGACTGGCTGGACACCCTCTGCCAGGGGCTCTGATCCCAGCCCCCACCCCTGCAGCCTCTGGGACTGTTTTTTTCTCTCTCCCTCCATTCTTTCTCCAAGGTTGGCTCTGTCTGCTCCTGCAGCATAAATCAGGGCCTCCAGGGAGGCTGAGCAGAACTGTCCGGGAGGGAGCACTGCCTCAGTGGGGGAGGGTGGAAAGCTCTGTGGGGTGAAGGCCAGAGGTCAAGGAGCCGGGGCGGGCTCGGTGGGGGCGGGGTGGATGCTCAGATGTCTGCCTGGCAGACCCTGGGGGTGGGAGGGGTGCCTCCTGGAACTGAGAACTGATCCTTGGGGTCACAGCCCCCCCTTTCCTGAGTAGATGGGATGGGGCACAAGAGGCCATTGCTGCTGCAGCTGGTCCAGTGTGGGGGGGGTTCTTTTGGAGAGGGGACAGCAGGAGGAGGTCTCCCTTCCCGTCACATGCTTTCCTGTCTCAACAGAGCTGGTGGTTCTGGGGCTCCCAGGGGCTGGGGGGCAGGGCTGGTGGGGTCAGGGGCCAGGCCAGGCACAGTGTAAGGGCTCTAAGGGGCCAGGAGCTCCAGCCGGCTAACCTTTGCCCCCCCCCCCCACAGCCACCTCCCCCTACTGGCTTCCCGCTCTTCTAGGAGGAGCCAAGGGCAGGTGGGCCTGGACGAAGCAAGGTCCGTGTTTCCCAGTACAAATCTCAGAACTCACCAAGCTGAGATGCTGTGGCTCCTCCGTGCCCGGTGTTTCCCTGGGCAATCACAGCCAACGGTGGGCATGTCTCCCGTACTCGGAGGACGGTCCTCTGGGGGACTCATGCACAGCGGTGTCTGCCTGGATCCAGGCTGAGGACACAACGAGGCCACCTACTCTGCTGCTGAGGGTCACTCCTGTGGCCTCACAAAATGAGCCTGGAGCCTCTGGGTCCCCCACCCCCCCCAGCTTCCGAGTTTATGAATGAGGTTGCTGGGCAGGTAAATGCCCCCACTCACTCTCCCCCAAATTCTCCACCACCACTCCTAACCAAAGGGCCAGGGTGGACATTTCAGGACCAGGCCCACCAATCTACATGGGCAACAGCTATACCCACCCCTTGAGCCCCGGTGCAGTACCCTGTGGGGTCCCTCCTGGGGCAGTCTCCCAGCTGCCCCTGCTGCTGCCAGCCGGGACCCAGGGTGGAGGTGGGGTGCTTGCAGAGTAGAGGGAGCAAGAGGGGTGCACCAGCGTACCCTGAGACACCCTCCTGGCCCTCAGGCCCTGATGAATGAGCAGAGCAGCCCAACCTGGGGTATGAGCTGGATAATCAGGAAACGGGATCTCAGCTGGTTGGGGGGAGGGACACCAGGGGTGGAATTGCCAGGTTTAGCAAAAAATAACAAACAAACCTAAAAACAGGATATCCAGTTAGAGTTGAATTTCTGAGAAACAAGTTTTTAATAGAAGTATGTCACATGCAATATCTAGCACAAACTTATACTCAAAAAATATTTATTGTTTATCTGAAATTCAAATTTAACTAGACATTCTGTATTTTACCTGGAAACTCCCAATTTAGCCCTCCCATTTCACTCACTCAGTTTGCTTCCCAACCCCCAAGGACCCTAACAGTCTTCAGCTCTGCTTCCCTAACCTGGTGGGGGCTGACTGGGCTGGCCGTGGACCCAGATACACAGAGCGGGAGAGCAGAGAACGCTTGTCAGAGCCTGGGGCCCTCTTCCCAGAATGCTGGGGTCTGTGAGGCAGGTCTGGCTCCCGGGCTGCGTTTGCCAAATCCCCTGCTCTAGAACCAGGCCACTGTTGAGTGCACCCTCAGAGCTCGGCTCTAACCCTGCCCCCTCTGCCCTCAGGTGGGCTTCCCCTCTCCAGGGCACGAGGAAACAGGGAACCCACTAGAGTCCTCCCGCAAAGAGGAAGGCACAGCTTGCGGGGTGGTTTGAGCGAGGAGTGGGAAGAAGGGCTGGCCAGGGCCTGAAAATGAGGAACACTGGCCAGGCAGTAGCTACCTGGAGGCCACTGCCTCTGCTGGCACCAGTGGAAACAGGATCCAGAACAGGTTGGGGGGTTTCCAGCCTGAGCTCAGCCCCTTTCCTGTGGAGGGGAGGACAAGGCCATGAGCACGCACCGTCTGGCTGCTCCAGCAGCAGCCCCAGGGGCAGACTCTTGCCCGCCCACCCCGGGTTGATATAGATGCTGGATTTCCTGGGCTGCCCCACTGTGCACGGGGAGGTCTGGCCCGCAGCTACCCAGCGCTTGCCTGGGCAGGGAACTGCCACCCCCAGACTTCTTCAGGAGACTCCCTTGTCTTTGCAAACTGTCACACAGCACGATCACCAGACCTGCTTCTTCTGGCCCCTGGCTCCCCTTCCCACCAACGTGGGTACCTCACGAAGTGGGAGAGGGAGCCACAGCCAGCTTAGATCAGGGCCCTGGGAAGCCATGTGCTGTTTGCCCCAGTGAGACCCCTCCACCTCCTGTCGCCCGCTTCTGACCAGGACCAGGTTAAAGCTGTCGATCTCCAGCCTGTCTGTGGCCTTCAGTTAAGGAGGCGGGCGGATGCCTCTCCAGGTGTGAGGAAAGGAGGGTGAACTCGGCCCGGAGAGGATGTGGCCGCCGCAGGGCTCAGGTCTGGAATCCTGGAGGCGGGGCAGAACTCAAGCGGCCTGGGAGCCCTTTGTGCGCCCATCACAGGGTGTCGCCTCTTTGCCCAGCAACAATGACTCACAAAGCTGGTCCGCGCCGGGCACAGGCCGCCTCCTCTCGCCCAGAAAGGCCCAGGTCATAAAGGCCATTAGGGCCAAGCCCTGAGGAAGGCATGTCCCAAGGCTGCAGCCCCGCGCCAAGCCAGGCCTGCGCCTCCCGCCGCGCCCCGGGCCTGGCGAGCGGGCGTTAAGGCTCACGCGGTGCGCCCGGTAGCCTCGACGCCCATGTGTGTCGTCTGCTTCGTGAAGGCGCTGGTGCACGTGTTCAAGATCTACCTGACCGCCAACTACACGTACAGCTTCCGCAGCCGGCCCGCCGCCTTCCGCTGGGATGACGTGCGCGCCGCCGGCGGGGGCGGCGGTCACCGCGCGCTGACGTGCGTCGCGGCCGCGGCGGGCGTGTGGCTGCTGCGGGGCGCGGCGCTGGGCGCGGACGCGCCGGGACGGCCGACGCGCGGGGCGCGCGGCCCGGCGCAGTGCCTCCGGCGGCAGGTCCGCGAGCTGCCCGGCCAGCTCGCCAGCTACGCGCTGGCGCACTCGCTGGGCCGCTGGCTCGTGTCCGCCGGCTCCGTGTCCCTGATGACGCGCGCGCTCCCGCCTCTGCTGCAGCGCGGCCAGGAGCGCCTCGCGGAGCGCTACCGCGGGCGGCGCGCCAAGCTGGAGGCCCGCGACGGCAACGAGATTGACACCGTGTTCGTGGATCGCCGCCAGCACCCAGGCAGCCACGGCCGCGGCCTGCGCCTCGTCATCTGCTGCGAAGGCAACGCTGGCTTCTACGAGATGGGCTGCCTGTCGGCGCCCCTGGAGGCCGGCTACTCGGTGCTGGGCTGGAACCACCCGGGCTTCGGGGGCGGCTCGGGGGCGCCATTCCCTCAGCACGACGCCAGCGCCGTGGACGTGGTGGTCAAGTACGCGCTGCACCGCCTGCGCTTCCCGCCGGCGCACGTGGTGGTGTACGGCTGGTCCATCGGTGGCCTCACGGCCACCTGGGCCACCATGACCTACCCGGAGCTGGGCGCGCTGGTGCTCGACGCCACCTTCGACGACCTCGTGCCCCTGGCCTTGAAGGTCATGCCCCACAGCTGGAAGGGACTGGTGCTGCGCGCCGTGCGCGAGCACTCCAGCCTCAACGTGGCGGAGCAGCTGTGCCGCTACCCGGGTCCGGTCCTGCTGCTGCGGCGCACGCAGGACGACGTAGTCGGCACCTCGGCGCACGAGCGCCCCCTGCCGTCCGGCGGCGTGGAGGGCAACCGCGGCAACGAGTTGCTGCTGCGTCTGTTGCAGCACCGCTACCCGGCAGTGATGGCGCGCGAAGGCCTCGCGCTCGTGACGCGCTGGCTGCGCGTCGGCAGCCTGGCACAGGAGGCCGCCTTCTACGCGCGCCACCGCGTGGATGACGAGTGGTGCCTGGCACTGCTGCGCTCCTACCGAGCGCGCCGTGAGGACGAGCGGGACAAGGAGGCCGGGGGGCCTCACGGGCTCCCCTTCCCCTGGCTGGTGGGCCAGGGCCTGAGTCCGCGGCGGCGCCGGCAGCTCGCGCTGTTCCTGGCACGCAGACACCTCAGGAACGTGGAGGCCGCTCACTGCAGTCCGCTGGAACCGGAGGACTTCCAGTTGCCCTGGAGGCTGTAGTCCTCGCCCCTCCCCACATGTGAAACCAGTAAAGCTGGCCCTGCCTGGGGATCCCTACCCGGTGTCTGGGGAGGGTAAGATGGAACGTAGGGAACAGGTGCTCTCCCTCCCCGGGGTGTTCCCCTCTCCCCTCTTTCCGCTTCTCCCTCGGACACTTGCGGACATCCCAGTCTGCGCCCAGCTCCTAAAGGTAATGTAGAGATTAACCTGCCCCAGTTTAGGGCAACACTGTGTGGACAGGTGCCTTGATCTCCTCGAAAGGATGGTGGGAGCACGGGCTGTGGGACTCCAGGAGGGGCCCTTAACCTGGATCAGGGTACACGATGGCTCTGGGAAAGAGAAGCGTGGAAGGGTTTGTATAAGTCACTCCTAGCCATGAGAGGACATTGGCATTGGAAGACTATCAAGCAGGTCTTAGCAGCTAGACCTAACCAGGAGTCTCCTCCCCACCTCCATGCCCCTGGCTTGTACAGGAGAGGACGCCAGACTCAGAGTAACAGGCACTCACACCGGCATGCCCATATGGGCTATAGATACACCTGCACTGACCATTCATTTGCCAGGCATCCCTTTGATCCAAGCCTGGGCTGGGCATTGTTCCTGGGCTCAAGGATGTAACACCGAATGAGAAACAAGCCTTCTGCTTGCCACCATTTGTAATGCAGTCGCTTCTTTACCATCTGCCATGAACTGCATGAAGGGGGGTACTCCTGGCCTTCCCCAGCACCTGGGGTCTGGGGCTAGCCAGTGTGGGCAGTGCAGGAGACTATGGAAAAACTGAAAGAAGGCAAGTGGGGCAGGCATATAATTGACAGCATCAGAGCAAGACATGGCCATGACGCACCTAGGCCAGGGCAAGCCAGAGGTGACGCTTAGGTGCCAGGGAGACACCTGTGGTGAGATGCACTTTAAGCTGATACGGGGAGAGGAATTCACCAGATTAAGGGAAGGGGCTTCCACAAAGGGATCAGTACGTGTAGAGTGGCTTGGCTGGAAATGGGGAGTGCAGTCCAAAAGGGTCAGATCCTGAAGGGTTTGAATATCATTTAAGACTTTGCTTCCAGTGGCTATTAGGTGCCAAAGAAGTGAAATTTTGGGACTTGCTTTAACGAAACCGGGTTATCTAGTGGTTACACACCTCTCCTTTGAGAAAGTCCGGCAAACTCTTGTTCCAGCATTTGCTGGAAGCTTTACAACTAGCTGAGTGATCCTGGACAAATTACTTTAACCTCAGTTTCCTCATCTGTTAAAGTGGGTAGAGCTCCACCTGGCTCACCGGGTTGCCACGAAAACGAAGTGAAAGAACACCCGGGGGCACCCGGCACAGCAGCGCGAAGGCTTCCCTGCAGGCCAGTCCGTGCCGTTTCAGCTGTGCGTGCACCGGACCGGAGGCAGGCGCGCGCGGACGCCGACGCCTCCGGCCAAGTGAGGGCAGCGGCGCCAGCAGGGCTAGAGGAAGAATCGCAGACACGCCTTTTTCTGCTTGACTCCCATACAATTAAAAAAAAAAAAAAAAAATCCCCATAAAGAGGAAGAACTTAAAAAAAAAACAACTGGAGGGAGAAGCTAACTCCAAAGTCAGGGTCGGGCCTCAAACGGTCTGTGCGGTGCGTGAGTCATGGCTCTCCTAGGCAGCGGCAAACACCCTCGAGACATCCAAAATCCCAAACCCTGCGCTTTCATAACGCCATGTTGGACGGTCCTCCCACTTCCCACCTTCCCCGAAATCCTTCGCACCGTTCTACCTGTGTGTCTCGCTGGTGGAGCCGACGCGGGAGGGATTCCTTAAGAACCCGCCCTTCCTTTCCGGCTTCATCCGCAGCCTCGGCCAATCAAGTTGGAGCAGGTAATAAGGCTTGCGCCGAACAAAGTCCTCATTGGGCACCGTTAGCGGGGGGTGGGATGAAGGCGGAGCAAGCGTCAAAGCGGAAGTGGGTCGTCGCGCCCCTGACGTAATGCCGCGGTGGCTGAGGCGGTTCCGCTGGCTGCTGTGTACGCGGCGAGCGAGTCCTGGTGCGGCCAGTTCGGCCCCTACGGCACCCGAGACCCCGGCCCCGGCCCCGGCCCCAGCCGCGGCTCGGCCGTCTCCTGAACATGGACTCCGCAGGCCAAGGTACCCGCGGGCTTGGCGCCTTCCCCACTTGAGCCCCGCCCGTGCTCTTCCCCTCTCTGGCGGCGCGTCTTGGACTCTCGATCCCCTCTGCCTCCATCCGCCCCGTGGCTCCTTTTCAGCTCCTATGCGCCGGGCCTCGAAGCTCCCGATGGCCGGGGGCGTGCGTCTTTCCGCCCCACGCTTGGACCACTCACAGCCCTATCCTGGGGCCGCTCCGAGGACCGGTTCCCCGGCACCCCTCCCCTCGTTCCCAGAGTTTTGGGTTTTCTCTCTCCGGGCAGCTGTCATCATGCCCCCTCCCGACGCTTGCCTAGTCGACCGCCCTCCGTTCCTACGCAGGGCCCTCAAGGACATTCCACCCGGCCCTGGAGTCCGGCACTGTGTTGTGCGCTTTTCCCGGGGAGGGAAGAGGGAGGGAGAGGAGATGGAACCCTCTTCGCGTTCAGTGCAGCGCCCCTTGGGTGGCAACGCTGCTCGGAGCCCAGGCTGCTTAGGGGTTGTCTCAAGGGGGGAAGGGTGCAGTGAGTCAGGGCACACACCCAGCATACTGGGCCGGTTTCCAGAACAGACACCCTTGACCGGTTTGAGATGGCTGCCGGGGGTGTGGAGTGGGCCCAGGAGATTAAAATCTTGAGAAGGTGATTCAAGCCGATCTTCCATTCTGGGGCTGTACAAAAGAGATACTAAATTCTTATGTTGACGTAACTACCCTGGATGATTTTAGGATTTTCCCCCCTACCATTTGACTTGTATCAGCATATTAATTAAACAGAAGTCCTAAGTTCTGATACACTGTGTAGATTTTTCTGCCTCTGCAGTCTACTTACAAAACAATTGAACATCAAAAGCCACCAGTTGTGTTAAGGTGAGATTTTTCATTGTTTGACGTGTGTGTTTAATTTAGGTAAGCATCATAAGCATTGGATACTCACCGTAAGACTGATAGAAACCACTCACTGAGCACTTACTGGTATGCCAGATACCATACCAAACGTGTTTCTCAAATAACCTTTTTCCGTTTTCAGAATAACCTCTTGAGATTATTCCTTGTATTGTCACCATGCAGATTATACAGTTCTAGAGATCCTGAGACTCACCCAGGAGGGACTCCAGCCCCCAAGCTTCCCCTATAGCACCAGCCCCACAGTCTGTAGGTCTTTTGGTGACACTTTCTTGCCTCAGTCTCCTCTGAACCAGAGTGTGAGTGGCATCTACCTACAGGGCTGTGGTGAGGTTGGTATCACGCAGAATGATTGTGTGGTGCTTTGGCATGTTTGGTGAGTGATCGGTTTCTATCTGGAGGTGATTGTGGGATTTGCATTTAGTTTCATGGGCAGAAACTCACCAAGGGCCGACCTACTTACCTTCCTTTATTTATTATGAAACGTTTATTTTTGAGAGAGAGAGCAGGGGAGGGGCAGAGAGAGGGACAGACGATCAAAAACAGGCTCAGTGCTGACAGTAGAGAGCCTGTGTGGGGCTTGAACTCAGGTACTGCAAGATCATGACCTGAGCTGAAGTCAGTTGATCGAGCATCTAACCCTTGTTTTCAGCTCTGGTCACAATCCCAAGGGTCGTGGGACTGAGCCGTACACTGTGTGGAGACTGCTTAAGATTTTCTCTCTCTCTTTCCCCCTCTCTTTCTGCCCCTCTCCCTTCTTTGCACTCCTCTCCCTCTGAAATAAAAATTTTAAAAATAGAAGAGCAACATGGTGGAGATTTTAAGGCATTTAGTGAATTTGAGTAGATTCAACATAGCAAGCAAATGAAGTAAAGTCACGTAGGTCGACTTCAGTTAAAAATCAGAATCAGTTGATCGGGGCACCTGGGTGACGTGGTTAACCTCTGGCTCTTGATTTCAGTTCAGGTTATGATCTCATGATTTGTGGGATCGAGCCCTGAGTCAGGCTCTATGCAGGTATATCAGAGCCCGCTTGGGATTCTGTCTCTCCCTCTCTGTGCCCCCCCCACCTGAACACAAAATAAACATTTTTAAAGATCCAAATCAGTTGATAAAAACAATGGTCAGTTGATAAAAACAATTTATCTCGTAAACATGTATCGAGTGCCAAGGAAGTGCTGGTCTCCAGATGTGTGGGACATGTGAGGGAGGAAGCTAAATAGAGCATCTTTGTAAGGTTTATTTGTTGTTATTTTAGAGAGAGAATGTGGGGGGGTGGGCGGGGGCAGAGGAAGAAAGAGAGAATCCTAAACAGGCTCCACCCTTAGCACAGCGCAGAGCCTGACATGGGGCTCAATCCCACAACCCTTGGATCATGACCTGAGCCAAAATCAAGAGTGGGACCCTTGGGGTGCCTGGGTGGCTCAGTCGGTTAAGCGTCCGACTTCAGCTCAGGTCATGGTCTCACGGTTTGTTGGGCTCTGTGCTGACTGTTTCAGATTCTGTATCTCCCTCTCTCTATGACCCTCCCCTGCTCACGCTGTCTCTCTTTCTCTCTCAGAAATAAATAAAACATTAAAAAATTTTTAAAAAAAAAAGTGGGACGCTCGACCAACTGAGCCACCCAGGCACCCCAATGCAGTCTATTTTTAGCAGATTCTAGGATTTCCACAGTAGAGAAACATATCTGTAATGACAGTTTTTTTTCTGACTTTGTGGATTTATTATTTATTTATTTTATTATTTAAAAAAATTTTGTGTACATTTATTTATTTTTGAGAGCGAGAGAGACAGAGCACAAGCAGGGAAGGGGCAGAGAGAGGGAGACACCGAATCCATAGCAGGCCCAGCAGGGATCAAACCCATGGACCGCAAGATCATGACCTGAGCTAAGTCGGGGACTCAACTGACTGAGCCACCCAGGCGCCCCTAATTTATTACTATTTTTATTAATTTTTTAAAATGTTTTTTTACTTTTGAGAGACA